GAAAAAAAGACAAAAAAAAAGACAAAATGAACAATTTTACGACCCAATGCCCTGCAAACAAAGAAGATTTAAGACGGGAGGAGTATATATTACCTTTGAATAATCCAGGACACGATTGTACATAGTACCGGACACATATCCAAGTAACATCTACCGGAGAAGAAAAAAATGTAACGACCCACGTGTGGATCGCTATTGTGGGTCATGTCGCCTACGTTTTGCATGAGTTCAAGTCGTCTCATTCCATCTTCGAACAACGGTTGTCGCCTATAAAATACACTCATATGCAAATCGTTTATTTATTTGACAAGATAATGCGATTGCAATAAACCTCTCAAATTACCAGCCGATTATTACTTTTAAATAATCCATTGTCACTGTATTTGAAAATATTTCAAATCCCATTTCACTTTAGGTGATATTTTTTATCTATAACTTTTTATTTTTTTTAAGGACAGCAAATTGAGACAAAAAACGAATCAAAATTGTTGCTTCACAACATTTTTGATTCGTTTTTTGTCTCAATTTGATATTTCTGTTTTTTTAGAATTTACACTACATTAAATTCGCTAAAACCAGAAATCAAAAAACTATTCTCAAAAATTATTATAATCTTAATTTATATTATAATTATAATCCAAAATTATAATTTAAAAGCGATTCAATTATTTTCAAAAAATATTCGAAATTCAATTATTTTCAATATCTAGTATTTTCATAAAAATTCGCAAAAGAATTCAATTATTTAAAAGAAAATTGACAAAATTCATCAAAAATTCACTTATTTTCATAAATAATTAAATTTTAACAGGAATTCAATTCAAATTTAGAATAGCATTTTCAAAAAAAAATTCAATAGGATCAATTATTTAATAAAAATTTGTATATCATTCTTCACAATAATTCAATTACTTTCACGAATAATAACATTATTTATGGAAATTCAATTTTAAAAAAATATTGTTAAAATTCTAGGCAAGAATTCAATTATTTTTATAAAGAATAAAACTTATCGAAGAATTTCAATTATTTTTAATACTATTTTACATTAATTAATCGAAAAAATTCAATTATTTTCATAAATAAAGTTTTCAACAGAATTCAATTATTTTCATAAATAATAAAATTTCCACAGGAATTCAATTAATTTAGAATAGCAATTTCAAACAAATTTCGAAAAAATCAATTATTTAACAAAATTTTTAGACAATTCTTCACAATAATTCAATTATTTTCACTAATAATAACATTATTCATGGAAATTCAATTTTCTAAAAAAATTTCTGATGAAATTCTCAGCAAGAATTCAATTATTTTCATAAATAATAAAACTCATCGAAGAATTTCAATTATTTTTTATACTATTTTAAATTAATTAATCGAAAAATTCAATTATTTTCATAAATAAAGATTTCAACAAAATTCAATTATTTTCATAAATAATAAAATTTCCACAGGAATTCAATTAATTTAGAATAGCAATTTCAAACAAATTTCGAAAAAATCAATTATTTAACAAAATTTTTAGACAATTCTTCACAATAATTCAATTATTTTCACTAATAATAACATTATTCATGGAAATTCAATTTTCTAAAAAAATTTCTGATGAAATTCTCAGCAAGAATTCAATTATTTTCATAAATAATAAAACTCATCGAAGAATTTCAATTATTTTTTATACTATTTTAAATTAATTAATCAAAAATTCAATTATTTTCACAAATAAAGTTTTTCACAAAAATTCAATTTTTTAAAATAAAATTTTCCTAATATTTATTATATTTCCAAAAAAATCAATTTTTTTAAATAATGTTTATAAAATTCTTGTAAAGAATTCAATTATTTTCAAAAATAACAAAATTTTTCAAAGAAATTCAATTCTTTTTAAACATTTTAATAAAATTTTTCACCAAAAATTCAATTATTTTTATAAAAAATAAAATTCTTCTCAGGAATTCAATTATTTTAGAAAATTTTAATAAAATTCTTTGCAACTATTCAATTATTTGCAAAAATATTAGAATATTTCACAGGAATTCAAGTATTTTCAAATACTTTAATATTAACATTTTTCATGGAAATTCAATTTTCTAAAAAAATTTCTGATGAAATTCTCAGCAAGAATTCAATTATTTTCATAAACAATTGTCGTTACATTTTTTTTCGAACAATTGTTCGAAAAAAATCAACAGTTTTAAATACAATTTGAATTGAATTTTTTTTAAAGTAATTCAATTATTCTTTTAAATTTGAATAAAATTCTTTACAAAAATCTGATTATTTTTAAAAGTAATTAATTTTTTCATGGAAATTCAATTATTTTAAAAAAATAACAAAATTTTTCATAGAAATTCAATTCTTTTTAAACATTTTAATAAAACTTTTCGCAATAATTCAATAAATTTCATAAATAATAAAATTCTTCTCAGGAATCTAATAATTTTTGAATATTCTAATAACATTCTTTTTATATCGATAAATAACAAAATTATTCCCGAAAATTCAATTATTTTCAAAAATGACAATATTCATTACAAAAATTCAATTATATTTAAAAGTAATTAATTTTTTCTTGAAAATTAAATTATTTTCAAAAATATCAAAATTTTTCAGAGAAATTCAATTCTTTTTAAACATAATTTTAATAAAATTTTTCGAAAGAATTCAATCATTTTCCTAAATAATAAAATTCTTCTCAGGAATTCAATTATTTTTAACATAATTTTACAGGAATTGCTCAAAAAATTTAATTATTCTTAAAAATTTAATTCCAATTCTTCAAAAAAAAAATGAATTATTTGAAAAAATGTCTTTTAAAATCCTTTTTAAGAATTCAATAATTTACAAAAATATTAGAATTTTTAAGAGGAATTTAATTATTTTTCGATACAATTTTAATTGAATTTTTTAAAAATAATTAAATTATTCTTTTAGATTTTAATAAAATTATTCCCAAGAATTCAATTATTTACATATAAATAATTCTTCGAATGAATTCAATTATTAAAGATAAATAACAAAATTATTCCCGAAAATTCAATTATTTTAAGGCATTTTAATAAAATTCTTTGCAAAATTCAATTATTTTCATAAATAACAATATATATCTTAAGAATTCAATTATTTTTAAAAGTAATAAATTTTTTCTTGGAAATTCAATTATTTAAAAAAATTCTAATACAATCGTTTGCAAGAATTCAATTATTTTCATAAATAATAAAATGCTTTTTTTGGAATTCAATTATTTTCAAAAAAATTTAATAAAATACCACACATACATTCAATTATTGTCAAAAATTTTTATATTTTCATAATATTTTCAAACAGAATTCAATTATTTAAAAATTTTTTTGTAATGAATCTTCTTAAGAATTCAATTTTTTTATGAATAATAAAAATTCCTCTGCAATTCAATTATTTAAATTAGAATTTGTATAAAATTAGTCGAAAGAAATAAATTATTTAAAAATTTTTAGAAACTTGTTCGCAAGAATTAAATTATTTTTATAAATATTTAAATTCTTTTATGAATAAAAAAATTCGTTGCAAGAATTCAATTTATTATAGCATTAGGATAAGAAGGAAGTAAATATTTTCGATGAAAATTAGGAAAAAGTCAGAAAAATAGAATATAGAATGGAATTTACTATATAAAATTTTTACTATATTTCTACTTTTGGAATAAAATTTGAAATATTTAGTTTTTGCTTTTACTATAAAAATTTTTACTGCATAATTTTTACTATATTTCTACATTTGTAAAGAATTTAAAATATTTTTCTTTTACTATTACTATAAAACCTTTATAATATCTTTTTCCTATAACTATAAAAAAAGCTCATCAATTTTTTGCTATAGTCAAAAGTTTCTGGATAGTAAAAATCTAGAAACTTTTGACTATAATTTGTACTATAATTCTACATGTGGAATAAATATATAAAGTATGTAACTTTTATCATTATTATAAAACTTTTGCTAACTTTTGCTAGGTTTTGCTAAATTTGTACTATGGATTTTACTATAGAAATACTATAACTATAGAAACTTTTTTGGTTTTACTATACAGTTTGTGTCATGACTATACATTTGGATTAAAAATATCGAACTTTTACTATTATTTTTTTTTATTATTACTTTTTACTTTTCACTGTTAGAATTGTTCCCATTACAGCCGAATCAGGTAAACCGAATGTCTACCGAATTCGGCTGACTGCGGTTGACATTCAGTTTAATGTGAAAAATCTCAAGAAAAACACTTAAATACCTACTAAAAAACTATTTTTTTTTACTATAAAAAAGAACATACTTATTTGAAATAAATCTGAATTTTTTTGATTACCATTTTAGAAATTTTATTTTATCAACAAATACATTATGAAACAATATTTCTTCCGCACTTAAATTTGAGTTATTATAGACATAATACATATTTTAAGAATCCTATATAGTTTTTAGTGGGTCACGTGTGTCATTGAAGAAACAAGGTCTAGTGATTTTCTATTTTTATCTATTTATACAAAACATTATCATTTAGGCATAGCAGTAAATGATGGTCGTTTGAGAAAATATATTGTCCCGGTTATATCATTTAAAAAAAATAAGGGAGTTGGAGCTTTAGATAGGAACGGTTGTACATCATTGTCAGAATCATCTTCTCGGCAAATAAAGCTTTCAGATAAGAATTCTCAGTTCGCCGATAAGAATTTTAATTCAAATCGATTTTCGATTTAAATTTATTTATCGAGAATGGCTTTTATATTCAATATAATGCGAAGAAATTTCTAATAGAAAATAATAATAATACTTAATAATAATAGTAATGAAAGACAAAAATCACAAAATAGTAATGAAGAATAACAAAAAAAAGCAATAAAGAATAAAAAAAAAAAAAACAATAAAGAATAAAACTATAAACTATAAATTTAAATTTATAATAAATTTTCTAAAAGGAAAATTATTTTTTTTATAATAACAAAATATTTATTTTTTTGTTTCAGGCTCATGTCGTATCAGCTTTTGAACAATCTTTGTCCAACATGACTCAAAGGCTGCAACAGCTCACGGCCACAGCTGAGAAAAAAGTAAGTCATTATTATTATTAATAACCATCTCGTAATTCTATCATTATAGTGTAAATTATTATTTTCACAATATTGTTTAAAATTTTATGTACGAAAATTTAATGCTTCTGTTTCATTGTCAAAATGAAATGTTTCGATATCCATATAAGTTGATTTTAACCTGTTTTTAATTTTTCAAAAATTGCGTTTGTTTTCTGTATGGTAAAAATTAATTTTCCTTTATTTCCTTTCTCACAGAGAAAGTAGTTTTGGTAACCGTCGAAAATTGTCGGGTATAACAGATTTTATTATTACAAGTTTAATTTATAAAACTTGGGATATAAAAAAAGTTTTAGAATTTTAGAGACGTAAAATCTTGTGCATTTGCTCTTTTTTTTGCATAAGAAGATTATATTTCTATATCATTTATTACACTTTAAGTAGACCCAATAGGAAACTTTTGAAATTCCTGTGAAATTGGCCTCTCTAATGATGCCAGTATTTTTTTTATGGTTATTACGTCTATTTAATTTTAAAATCCCATAAAGTTTACATCGAAAATACGAAGTTATTGCAATTTTACAGTCTTTAAAATAAATTATTAAAATTTTTTTTACTAGTTTTTTTTAATCCTGTAATGAGTATTTTTTAATGCTAATTTATTTTTTTATTAAGTATTTTTTCACAGTAAAGTATTTTTTAGTTACAATTTGTTTCCAGTATAATTAAATAATAAATTTGTAAATTAATATTTTCGAATTTTCAAAATAAAAAATTAATAATTTAAACTAAAAATATTAACTGCACAGAAAAATTGTATTACACTGGATATTTCTAAACAATAGAATTTTGAATTCTTAAAAATTTTAAAAAGTCTTTGAAAAATCGATTCTTTTTAATAAAATGTTAGGAAACTTCAATTAATTCAAAAAGTCAATTACATGTTCAAATGTTATCTTTAAAAAAAATAGAATTAAAATCTATTAAAAATCAAATTTTTCCGAATTTTTTACTTTCATTTTTAAAGAAAATTTTTAATTTCAATATTTTCAAAATAATTTATACGAATATTGTAAATAATAAATAATCATATAAATTCATACGTTTTTACTTATCAAATTAAAATTCTTTGAAAATTCAATTTTTGTAGAATATCTCCAAAGAAAGTCTTTAATAAATAAATTAAAATTATTATTAACAATTAATAAATTAAAATAAATCTCAAAATTTCAATTAATTTGCAATAGTCAATTATTTACCAATTAGTAGATTAAAATTCATTGAAAAATTAAATTCTTTTAAAATAGTCTCTAAAAAAATTCTCTAACAAATTTTATAATTTTCAATTCGATTTTATAAAATTTCAATTAATTTATAAATATAAATTATTTACTAATTATTAAATTAAAATTCTTTAAAAATTTATTTTTTTGAAAACCTGTAATAAAATTCTTCAACAAATTTAATTATTTTCAATTCAATTTCACAAAATGTCTATTAATTTGTAAAATTCTATTATTTACCAATTAATAAATTAAAATTGTCCAAGAATTCTTTAATCAATTAAATTATTTTCAATTTGATTCGGCAAAATTTCACTTAATTTGTAAAATTCAATTATTTACCAATTTTTAATTTAAAATTCTTTGAAATCATAATTTATTTAAAAATCTCTGAAGAAATTCTTTAAAAAATTTTATTATTTTAAATTCGACATCATAAAATTTTAAATAATTAGTAAAATTCAATTATTCAATTATAAAATTTGAATTATGTTGTCAAAATCAATTATTTAACAATACTTCTTAATATAAAATTCTTTAAAAATTCAATTTTCTTTAAATTTGTAAAAAAATTCGCCAAAAAGTTTAATTATTTTCAATTCGATTCGATAAAATTTCAATTAATTTGTAAAATTCAATTATTCACCAATTTTTAATTTAAAATTCTTCGAAATCTTAATTTATTTAGAAAACTCTGAAGAAATAGTTTAACAAAATTTTTTTTTTATTCGTCGTCATAAAATTTCAAATAATTGGTAAAATTCAATTATACAATCATTCAATTATAAAATTACAATTATGTTGTCAAAATCAATTATTTAACAATACTTCTTAATATAAAATTCTTTAAAAATTCAATTTTCTTTAAATTTGTAAGAAAATTCGTCAACGAATTGAATTATTTTCAATTTTATTGCACAAAATGTCTATTAATTTGTAAAATTCAATTATTTACCAATTTTTAATTTTAAATTCTTTGGAAATTTAATTTTCCTAAAACTCTCTGAAGAAAATTTTTAAAAATTTTTATTTTTTTCAATTCGACATTACAAACTTTTAATTAAATAGTCAAATTCAATTATTTACCAATTATTAATTTAAAATTCTTTAAAAATTCAATTTTTTAAATTTTTCAAGAAAAATGATTAAATTCTATTTCATAAAAATTCGATTCGTTTGTAAAATTCAATTATTCAATTATAAAATTCTAATTATTTTGTAAAAATCAATTATTTAACAATTCTTAAATTAAAATTCATTAAAAATTCAATTTTTAACGGATTTTTTTTCTGGAATAAAATTTTTTATCAAATTTAATTATTTTCAATTTGATTTCACGAAATATCTATTAAATTCTAAAATTCAATTACTTTCCAATTATGAAATTAAAATTATTCGAAAATTTAATTGTTTTAAAAATCTCTGAAGAAAGTCTTTAACAAATTTTATTTTTTTCAAAATAAATTTCTAAAGCAATTCTTTAACAAATTTTATTATTTTCAACTCGACATCACAAAATTTCAATTAATTAGTAAAATTCAATAATTTATCAATTATTAATTTAAAATTCTTTGAAAATTCAATTTTTTAAATTTTTGAATAAAATTCTTCAAGAAAAATTATTTTTAATTCGACATCAGAAAAATTCAATTCGTTTGTAAAATTCAATTATTCAATTATAAATTTTCAATTATTTTGTAAAAATCAATTTATTATTTAACAATTCTTGAATTAAAATTCATTAAAAAAAAATTTTTTTAATAAAATAATAACGTCAAATAATAATTTTTCAACAAATTTAATTATTTTCAATTCGATTTCACAAAATGTCTATTAATTTGTAAAATTTAATTATTTATCAATTATTAAGTTAAATATAATTTATAACAGAATAACTTCAAGAATGTTATTCTGGAATTTAATTATTTAAAAAATTCAAATTATTTACAGAAAAAGGGAAAAATTAAGGTTCTTTTTTAAAAAATAATTTTGATTATGAAAAGTGTTAAATCTCAGAAAAAATTCGAGGATAATTCCAAATTTTTTGTTAAAAATAATAAAATTCAATAATTTTTGTAGATTTACAAAAGTTTTCTTCAAGTCATGAATTTTAAATTTAAATACGTAAATTAGAGTTTTGTGTAAAAATACATATTAGAAAATATCACCTGAAATAAGGCAGGAAAACAAAAGAGTTTTGTCACATTTTTGAAATAGAACCTAAGAAAGTATTCTTATTTATTTTCGCAAAATGTCAAAATTTCATTCCTAATCAAAATTCTTCGCTCAAAAAAAAAATAAATAAATAAATAAACCTAAAAATGGAAAACATAAAAATATCCAATTCTTAGAAATAAGAATGATGACTTTCGAAATAATTTAAAAATGCATAGAACGGAATCCGAAATCCAGATGATGAAAGTGTGTATTAAAATCCAGTACGTATTAAAATGTTCCACTTCTATTTTATTGCAAATTTTTTAACACCAGAAATTAATAATATTTATTGTAAAATTTATATTCTTTTAATTCTTTTTTTTCTTTTTTAAATTCTTTCCTTTTTTTTCTTTTTTAAATTCTTTCCTTTTTTTCTTCTTTAAATTTTTTTCTTTTTTAATTCTATTTTTTTTTTATTTAAAATACTGTAGAAGTGTTTTATATAATTTTTTTTTTAGATGACACACTAAAAACCAAAATGGACAATAAAAAACATCCAACAAAATCGAAAAGTCGAAAATTACCCCGTCCAAGCGATGTAAAATCATCTCTAAATAATTTCCTACCAGGCATAGAAAATATTTCGGTAAATTCCAAATTTCCTGTTCTCATTCCAATTCCGCCGAAAGATGCAAAAGCCCTTGGCCTTAAAATTCCCGAAGCAAGTTCATCGTTGAAAAAAAAGTTGTCCTCAAAAAGTAATAATACTTCTAAAAGTGGTGGTAGTGGTGGCAGTTGTTGCAGCAGCAACAGTAGTGGTGTTGGTGGTAGTTGTTCAAAAGAAGACCCCAAGACCTTAATTGGTAAGAACTATTTGAAAGAGTTAGAGAATTATAAAGACTCGAGGAATTCTAAGGATTCCACGAAAAAGATACAGAAGACAATTGTGAAAAATCCCAGAAGTCTTGAGGACACTGGAAGGAGGAGTTTGAAAAATTTGTCGAGCAGAAATACACGCAGCATTCATTTGGCGCCGAATAAAAATTTCACCAATGCAATTGTCAGAAATATTGTGGGCGTTGGAAGAATGAAACAAGCGAAGCAGGGAAATTTTAATGAACCCGATACTTCGGATAGACATTCAAGGGAGCCAAATTCTGATTCGATGAGGCAACTTTATAGTATCTCCGATTCCTGGAGTAGTGATTCTGTGGCTAGTGAATCTGACAATTGCACCTGTTGTCACGCTTCTAATCCTTGTCCCGTGCATGGAAAACTATAAAATAGAAAAATTTTTCTAACTACTGGAAATTTTTTCTTTTTTTTTTTACTGGAACTTTTTTTCCCCTTAATATTGTCAAAGGAATAATAAAATTCATAATACTGAAAACAAAATATTCTCATTATTAATTATATTAAATTAGTATCTTATTTCGAAAAATATTTATTTTATCTTCAGATTGTATAATTATATAATATTATTTATTATATAAATTTACGATTATATTTTTTTGTTTACTTTATAAATTGTAATTTATAATTTTCCAATTTTATAGTTTTATTTTTTTATTTTTTAAACTTTTCCAAGAATTCCAAACTTAAATTAAAATTAATGCCCTTAGAATTTTTAATATTCAAATGAACGAAAATTTTTTTTCTCACTATTATATATTTTACTAAAAAATATTTTGTTTATAAAAAAAAATAGTTATTTAAAATAATTTTTTCAAGAGTTAATTCTTAAATAAGTAAATAATATTGAAATTAGATTATCTTTCAATTTAGTATAGTAATTTTTGGAAACATTGAAACAAAAAAATTCCCAGCATTTAAACCTTCGAAAATTTAGTAAAATTAAATTTTAGATCATTTTCCAAATTTTGAATTTAAAATTGGAATAATTTAAAATTTCAAAAAGTACCTATAAATTGTTTGTTTATTTTAATTTTAATTTTTTTAAATTCAATTATTTTTAAATTTACAATAAATAAAAATTTTTAAAAATTGAAAATATAATAAAAATTTCAAAACTGAAAATGTTTTTTTAATTTTAATACAAAATTTTTTTAATTTAATAGGTATTTTTAAATTTACAATAATTAAAAATTTTTAAATTTAAAATAATAAAATTTTCAAAAATACAAATGGTTTTTTAATTTTAATCCAAAAATTTTTTAAATTAACTATTTTAAAATATTTACAATTCAAAAAAAATAATAAAAAATTATAAATATTTTCAAAATCACTAGCTAATAAAAATTGATAATAACAAATAATTATAAAAAATCATTCGATTCTGATTTTTCGTAAAATTCAATTATTTATCATCTATTAATTAAAAATTTTTTGAAAATTCAATTTTTTTAGAACCTCTAATGAAATTCTTTAACAAAATTAATTATTTTCAATTAAATTTTAAAAAATTTTAATTAATTTTGTAAAATTCAATAATTATTTATCATTTATTAAAAAAAAATTCATGAAAATTCAATTTTTTATAATTTCTAATAAAATTCTGCAACCGAAAATTATTTTAAATTCGATTTCACAAAAATCCAATTCATTTATAAAATTCAATTAAATTGATCAATTATTATATTAAAAATCTTTGAAAATATAATTTCCTAAAAATATGTAATGAAAATAATTAACAATTATAATTATATTCAATTCGATTTTATAAGATTTCAATTAATTTGTAAAAATCAATTATCTACCAATTGTAAAACTAAAATTCTTTGAGAATTAAATTTTGTTAAAAAATATGTAATAACATCGTTCAACATTTTAATTATTTTTAATTCGATTTCACAAAATGTTTATTAATTTGTAAAGTTTAATTATTTATCGATTAAATTAAAATCCTTTAATAATTTAATTTTTTATAAATCTCTAACTTTTTTTTTAACAAAATTAATTATTTCAATTCGATTTCAAATAATTTTAATTCATTTTGTAAAATTCAATTATTTACTAATTATTAAGTAAAAATTCTTTGAAAATTCAATTTTTGTAGACACTCTAATGAAATTCTTTAACAAAATTAATTATTTCAATTTGATTTAAAGAAATTTAAATTAATTTTGTAAAAATCCAATTATTTACTAAATATTAAATAAGAATTCTTTAAAAGTTTAATTTTTATAGAAACTCTAATTAAATACTTTAACACATTTAATTATTTTTAATACTATTTCACAAAAAAATGTTTAAATTTAATTTAATTTGTAAGTTTACAATAATTGAAAAATTTTAAAAGTGCAAATTACTTTTTAATTTTAATCCAAAAGTTTTTTAATATCAATATTTTGATTTACAATAAATAAAAATATCGAAACTGACTTTTAATTTTTAATTTTAAAATTTTAACCATTTCAATAATGGTTTAAAAATTTTAACATTTTATACAATCAGAATGTCAAAAAAAATTTAATTTTAAGAAAATTCAAATCAAATTTTTAAATTCAATAATATACTCAGTTTCGCATAATTTGTTTTTCCAAAAAGAAAACAACGTTTCAAGAAAAGAAAATAATTAGGAAGATTTTTATTTATGAAAATTGTATTAATAGCAGGATAATTTTTGCTTAAAGAAATTATGCAAAAAAGCATCTGATAATAATTATTAGAGGCGAAGTCAAATATGAAATTCTCAAGAAAAATAAAAAGAGCAAAATTCTAATTAACTAAATTTAAATTAAATAATTATAAAAGCAATGTGGCGTGAAATAGTTATAATATCTTTCTAAATCACTTTATGAAACTATCAGTCAATTTGCCCTCTGCTAATTAAATAGAAAGTTATAATTACCACATTAATTTTCATAAGCCTTATAAAAAATCCAATTCAATATTGTTACATTTCCGCAATTTACTTTTCACAATTAGAAAACAAATGAGTACATTTAATATATTAATCTGTCAAATTTTCTCCTCTGAAATAAATAATTTTCAAGGTTCCAGAGATAAAAATCGTTTTCCTGAAATAGATTTATGGAAAACAAACACAGAAGTTTCATTTAGAAATTATCTATTAAAAAAAAAACGAAAACTATGCAACTATTCAGCTATAATAATAATGCAGCAATTTTAATTGTTTTGGTAATTTTTAAAAGAATTTTTAATTATATACTCAGTAATTAGGTAAAAAACCGAGAAATATTCAAATTAAATCAAGAATTAATTTCAATAAAAATATTCTTCATAAATTAAAAAAAAATTTAATCCTATTAAAATATTATTATTACTATTATTATTATTATTATTATTATTATTATTATTATTATTATTATTATTATTATTATTTTTTAAATTTCAAAAATTTATTTATAATTAATTTATAATTAATTTTATTATAATTAGTTTATAAATTGTAAGCAATAAAAAATTGTGAAGCCTCGCGAAAACAGGGACCTGAAGGGACCCAAGAAGCAAAAAATTATAGGTTATGTTTGTTATCTTTTAATCTCGAATAAATGATTCTTTTTTAATTTTCTAAAATGAAAAATAATTGTTATTGAAGATTTTAATTGTAGTTAAGAATTAAACGCAATTAGTTTGAATTAAGAGTTAACCCACTTTATGTATTTTCACTTAAAACAATTACAAGCATAACCTAAAAAATTTGATATTTATACAAATTTTATTTTTTATAATTTATAAATAATAAAAATAAGTAACTGTCATTACAAAGAATATTTATTTTTTATAAATTTGATTTAAACATTTCTTTAAAATTGTATATCATATTAATAATAGTAATAATAATAATGATTTAATAATTATAATAGTAATATTAATAATAATAATAATAATTCTAATAATTTTAATAATAATAATAATTCTAATAATTTTAATAATAATAATAATTCTAATAATTTTAATAATTATAATAATAATAATAATAATAATAATAATAATAATAATAATAATAATAATAATAATAATAATAATAATAATAATAATAATAATAATAATAATAATAATAATTCTAACAATTTTAATAATAATAATAATCCTAATAATTTTATAAATACCAATAATAATAATAATTGTAAATTATAATTATGCTTTCAGGACACAGAATTGCAGGAATTGAGGGATACAATCGAGAGGCTTAGAAAGCAGAGTGCGGAGGCCACTTTGAATAACAATATTCGAAGACACACTCTGGGCGATTCAGATTCTGGAACAACCGGATGCACCGGAAACAGTAATCATCAAGGATCGTCAATCGCGAGACAATTGTCAGCAGACAGCGTAACATCACTAAACTCTTTGAGTAGCGCTTGTTCCATCAGCAGTCATCACAAGAAGAAAGGCTGGCTTCGAAGTTCCTTCTCGAAAGCTTTCTCTAGGTAAACCAGTTCAACACAAATTGCCATCGAAATCTTCTTTTTATTTCCACTCGACAAATTCTCTTTCAATTTTTTCCAAATTTATTTCTTTCAGATTTTTCTAATTTAGTTTTTCGGGTTCCGTACACGAAGTGCACCGTACGGAATCCTATTTTCAGACTTCGCACTCGATAATTAATTTTAAAACTAAAAAAAAAAATTAGTGAAAAAGTAGTTATCGAAAAATTAAACTTGACGACCAAAAAAACTAGTTTTAGACACTTTTCAAAACTGACTAAAATTCCATTCAAAATTTTTATTTTCCTGACTTTTTCCTAATTTTCATAAAAAATATTTATTTCTCTCTTATCCTGATAAATAATTAATTGAATTTCTGCAACGAATTTTATTATTCATCAAAGAATTAAAATATTTATAAAAATAATTTAATTCTTGCGAAGAATTTTATAGAAATTTTTAAATAATTTACTTCATTCGACTAATTTTATGCAAATTCTAATTTAAACAATTTAATTCCTGACAAATTTTTATCATTCATGAAAAGAATTGAATTTCTTCGAAGATTTTTACAAAAAATTTTTTAAATAATTGAATTATGTTTGGAAATTTTATTGAAAATAGCAGATATTGAAAATCATTGAATTGCGAATAATTTTTAAAAATAATTAAATTTTACAAAGAATTCTATTAAAATTTTTGAAAATAATTGAATGTCAATGTGGCATTTTATTAAATTTCTTTGAAAATAATTGAATTCCTAAAAAGCATTTTATTATTTAGAGAAAATAATTCAATTCTTGTGAACGATTTCATTAGAATTTTTTAAATAATTGAATTTCCAAGAAAACTTAATTATATTAAAAAATAATTGAATTCTTCTGATGAATATTGTCATTTATGAAAATAATTGAATTCTTCTGATGAATATTGTTATTTATGAAAATAATTGAATTTTGCAAAGAATTTTATTAAAATATTTCATAATTTTTCATAATATTTATTATATTTAAAAGAAATTAATTAGATATTTAAAACAATGATTATAAAATTCTTATGAAGAATTCAATTATTTTCAAAAATAACAAATTTTTTCACAGAATTCAATTATTTTTAAACATTTTAATAAAATTTTACGCGATAATTCAATAACTTTCATAAATAACAAAATTCTTTTCAAGAATTCAATTATTTTTGAAAATTTTAATAAAATTCTTAGCAACTATTCAATTATTTTCATAAATAATAAATTATTGAATTCTTCCAAAAAATTTTAAAAAACATTTTTTAAAATAATTAATTTTTTCGAGGAATTGAAATTTAATTTTTATGAATAATTACATTTTTTGAGCAGCTCCTGTAAAACTGTATTAAAAATAATTGAAATCTTGCGCTGAATTTTCTTATTTATGAAAATAATTGAACAGTTGCAAAGAATTTCATTAGAATTTTTTAAATAATTGAATTTTTCAGAAGAATTTTATAATTTGTGGAAATAATTGAATTACTGAGAAAAATTTTATTAAAATGTTTTAAAAGAACCGAATTTTCAAGAAAAAATTAATAACTTTGAAAAATAATTGAAATCTTAAGATGAATATTGTTATTTATGAAAATAATTGAATTTTGCATTGAATTTAATTAAAATGCCTCAAAATAATTGAATTTTCGGGAATAATTTTTTTAATTTATCTTTAATAATTGAATTTTTTTGAAGAATTATTTATGTAAACAATTGCATTCTTGGGAAGAATTTTATTAAAATCTAAAACAATAATTTAATAATTTTCAAAAAAAAAAAAATGTATTACATTTGTATTTTAATAATTGATTTGATTCGAACAATTTTTCTAAAATATTTGAAAATAATTGAATTCTTGTGCAAAATTCTAATATTTTTGCAAATAATTGAATTCTTCCGAAGAATAAAAAAAAAACTTTTTTTTTAAATAAATTGATTTTTTCGAAGAATTAAAATTAAATTTTTAAGAATAATTACATTTTTTGAGTAATTCCTCTAAAATTGTATTAAAAATAATTGAAATCCTGATATGAATTTTATTATTCATAAAAATAATTAAACACTTGCAATAAAGAATTTTATGAAAATCTTCTAAAACAATTGAATTTCTGAGAAGAATTTTATTATTTATCAAAATAATTGAATTATTGCGAAAAATTTTATTAAAATGTTTAAAAAGAATTGAATTTTTGTGAAAAATTTTGTTATTTTTAAAAATAATTGAATTCCTGAGAAGAATTTTATTATTTAAGAAAATAATGGAATAATTCCAAAAATTTTTATTAAAATGTTTAAAAAGAATTTAATTTTTGTGAACAATTTTTTTTTTAAATAATTGAATTTCTGAGAAGAATTTTTTATTTATGAAAATAATTGAATTATTGCAAAAATATTTATTAAAATGTTTAAAAAGAATTTAATTTTTGTGAAATTTTTTTTAAATAATTGAATTTCTGAGAAGAATTTTATTATTTATGAAAATAATTGAATTATTGCAAAAATTTTTGTAAAAATGTTTAAAAGGAATTGAATTTCTGTAAAAACTTTGTTATTTTTGAAAATAATTGAATTCTTCATAAAAATTTTAAAAAAATTGTTTTAAATAATTAATTTTTTCGAAATACAATAAATAGTACGAAAATTTTATTTTAAATAATTGAATTCTTCTGGGAAACTTTATTTATTGAAAATAATTGAATTTTTCGATTAATTAATTTAAAATAGTATTAAAAATAATTGAAATTCTTCGATGAGTTTTATTATTTATGAAAATAATTTAATTCTTGTTGAGAATTTTATAAAAAATTTGCAAAAAAATTGAATTTCCATGAAAAATGTTCTTATTAGTGAAAGTAATTGAATTTTTGTGAAAAATTGTATAAAAATTTTGTTAAATAATTGATTTTTTCGAAATTTTCTTGAAAATGCTATTTTAAATTAATTGAATTCTTATGTAAATTTTATTATTTATGAAAATAATTGAATTTTTGAATGACTTTATTATCAATTCTTTTTAAACAATTGAATTCTTGCAACGAATTTTAAAAAAATTTTTAAATAATTGAATTCTTTACAGAAATTCTATTAAAATTGTATTGAAAATAATTGAATTCTTGCAACGACGTTTATTAAACTTTTTAAAAATAATTCGAATTTCTTCGCAGAATTTTATTACTATAGCAATAATTGAATTCTTGACAAGAACTTCATAAAATTTTTTTTTAAATAATTGAATTTTTGCGAAGAATTTTATAGAAATCTTTTTAAAAAATTAATTTCTTTCGAAAATTTTTTTGAAAATTGTGTTTTAAATAATTAATTCCTGTGTAAATTTTATTATTCATGAAAATAATTGAATGTTTGCAAAGAATATAAAAAATTTTTTTTTTTAAATTATTGAAATCTTTACGAAAATTTTTTATTTTGAAATAGTAAATAGATATGAAAAATAATTGATTTTCGAAAATTTTTTTTGGAAGAATTGAATCATTTGAAAGAATTTTATTAACAGTTGTTTAATTATTTCTAACAATTTTTTTTTTATTTTTTCTAACAATTTTATCAAAAGTTTTGAAAATAAATTTTTATTTGAAGTATTAGCAAATTTAAAGTAGTGGAAATTCTAAAAAAAACAGAAATAGTAGCTTTTCGAGGATGAAATCTAAAAAAAGTACCGAAATAGTACCATAACGTAAAAAAGTAGTAAATAGTGGATTTTAGTAGATGAGTGCGAAGCCTGTATTTTATTTAGGGCACTAAAGTTAAAAAATTTTTGATACCAGTAAGTATTGGTACCAATATTTCTGATACCAAAAAATTGCTGGGACCAATATTTACTGGTATCAAAAATATTGGTACCGATATTTTTTGGTATCGGAAATATTGGTACCAATAATTATTGGTATAAAAAATATTAGTACCGATATTTACTGGTATAAAAAATATTGGTACCGATATTTTTTGGTATCAGAAATATTGGTACCAATATTTATTGGTATCAAAAGAAATTGGTACCAATATTTATTGGTATCAAAAGAAATTGGTACCAATATTTACTGCTATCAAAAATTTAATTTTTAAGGCACTAGAGTTTCGATTTTTGATACCAATAAATATTAGTCCCAGCAATTTCCGTCGTTGTCGTCTTGGAAAATTTTTGTGTGACTGCAGACTTTAGTCCGGGCGAGCAGCGAACCCGCTGCTCGTCCTGCCTAAAGTCTACAGTCTCCCAAAAATTTTTCAAGTGTACACCTGAAAGATACTTATCATAATTATTTTCCTACATCACCTGAATGTACTTTTTTAAATTATCTTTTAATTTTCTCCATATTTTTCTTCAGTAGAACTCGTAAACACCGACAAGGCTCCATATCGGACGCCGAGGATTGCAAGGAAGGCGTCGGAGATTTGAGTGTACCAAACAGTCCACGACTACCAATTGCCGCCAAACACGAGAGGGTGGGTCAGGATCAAAATCAAACACCAAAAAGCAACGGTCAAAAATCGCCCGAAAGTAACAATGCGATACCTGGAAGCAAGAGCAGTTCCGCTCTCTATAAGCAGGAGGACGAGGACGACGAGGATGTCGACGAGTTGAAGAAACAATTGCGAGAGAAAGACATGGTCCTAACAGACATCAGACTCGAGGCCCTTTCATCCGCTCATCAACTGGAATCCCTCAAGGACACAGTCATTAAAATGAGGGTACGTTCATCAAAAAATTCTCCCAACTTTCTTTTTGTGTCAATTCAAGCGCAAGGGATCATCCTTTCGATGATTCACGCGCCTCCTATTTGCCATCTGTTTATAAATCTCGTTTCGCAAAAAAAAAGCTATCAATTAACTAAAAATCCACACCGAACATCTGCTTCTCGACTCATCTAGTCGCAATGATTTTTTTTTTTTGCTAAAAACAATTAGGATTATTTTCCTTTTTGTAAATTCCCTTCTAGAGTTATTGCGCGGTGAATGAAAATTATTGAGATAATGATAACAGTTTTGGCAATTAATAATTTATTGTTAAAATGTAGCTACTATCGAAAAATTAAATTTGCCAACTGAAAAATCGTTTTGACGATTCCCAAAAATTCTAAAAAATGTCATTCTATATTTTTCTGATTTCTATAAAAAATCTATTTTTTTCCTGATAAGCAATAACTTCAATTCTAAATTCTATTCTATTCTATGTGAAATACATTTTTTTAATCAATTTTTTCCCAAAGATTATTTAAATATTTTTATAAAATTCTTTAAAAAAATTGATTATTTTATAAAATTTGTTTATAAGTAAATTGTTTTAGTTTTAACATTGTTTTAGTAAATAATAAAATCCATCACAAGAATTAAATTATTTTTAAATACAAGTTTAATTAATTTATTCGAAAGAATTGAATTATTCTTTTAAATTTTATAAAATAAAAAAGAAATCATTTATTTAAAAAAATTTAATAAAAATTAGATGCAGGAATTCAATTATTTCTTAAAAATCATAAAATTCGTTGCAAGAATTTAATTATTTTCATAAATAATAAAATTCGTTGCAGGAAATTAATTACTTTTATAAATAATTAAATTATTTATAAGATTTCAATTATTTCTAATGCAGTCTTTTGAAAAATGTTTTTCAATGTAAAAGATTTAAAAATTATTTTGAAATTATAATCGAATTTTTGAAGAATTCTAAAATTTCTAAAATTTCTAACTAAAAGTTTAGAAAATTGGATTTTTTAAAACAATTTTATCAATATTGTTGAAAATATTTAAATTTTTTAATAAAATTCTTGAAAATAATCAAATTTAATTAACATTAAAAGAATTTTATCAAAATCATTAAAATTAATTGAATTCTTATTCAAATTCTTAAAAATAATCGAATTTAATTAATATTATGAAAAATAATTGTATTCTTTCGAGAAAATTAAAATTGTATTAAAAATAATTGAATTCGTCCAAAAAATTTTAATATCTATAAAAAGAATTGAATTCCTTTAAATAATGTTATTTATGAAAATAATTGAATTCCTCCGAAGACTTTGAAAATTTATGAAAATAATTGGATTTTTGAGAAAAATTTTATTATTAATAAAAATAATTGAATTCCTGATTAAGATTTTGTTGTTTTTGAAAATAGTTGAATTTCTGCGAAGAATTTTATGAAATTTTTTAAAATAATTGAATTCGTGTCTAAAATTTTGTTGATCTTGAAAATAATTGAATTTCGGGAAAAAATTTTTATATTTATTATGATAATTCTATTTTTGACAAGAATTTTATTAAAATTTTTTAAAAATAATTATATTTATTCCAAGAATTTTGTAAAAATTTTTTAAAAATATTTTAATTCCTGACTAAAATTTTTTTATTTTTGAAAATAATTGAATTTTCGGAAAAACTTCTGTTATTTATAAAAAGAATTCAATTCTTTGAAATTTAAAAGTTTTTAACATAATTTTAATTCAGCGAAGAATTTTATATAGTCTTTAAAAATAAATGAATTTATTCTGAAAATTTTATTATTTTTGAAAATAATTGAATTTTTATGAAGAATTTGATAAAATTATTGAAAATAATTGAATTTTTAATTAAAATTTTGTTGGTTTAAACAAAATTTAATTTATGGAAAGAATTTTTATATTTATAATGATTATTGAATTCTTGACAAAAATTGTATTAAAATTTTCAAAAATAATTAAATTTCTTCCAAGAATTTTGTAAAAAATTTTTGAAAATAATTGAATTTGTGGGAAAAATTATTTTTTTTAAGAAAATAATTACATTGTTGTAATTTGAAAATTTTGAACAGAGTAGAAAGTCAGTGAAAAATTTGATAAAGTCTTTAAAAATAATTGAATTTATTTTGAAAATTTTATTATTTTTGAAAATAATTGAATTTCTGCGAAGAATTTTACAAAATTTATTGAAAATAATTGAATTCCTGACGAAAATTTTGTTGTCTTTAAAAATAATTGAATTTCTGGAAAGAATTTTCATACTTATAATGATAATTGAATTCTTGGCAAGAATTCAATTAAAATTTTCAAAAATAATTAAATTTATTCCAACAATTTTGTAAAAAATTTTTGAAAATATTTGAATTCCTGACTAAAATTTTTGTTATTTTTGAAAATAATTGAATTTGTAGAAATAAAATCTTTTATTTAAGAAAATAATTACATTTTTGTAATTTGAAAGTTTTGAGCAGAATTGAAATTCAGCGAAGAATTTTATAAAGTCTTTAAAAATAATTGAATTTATTTAAAAAATTTTATTATTTTTGAAAAGAATTGAATTTTTACGAGGAATTTCATAAAATTATTGAAAATAATTGAATTTCTGATTAAAATTTTGTTGTGTTTTAAAATAATTGAATTTTTAGAGAAAATTTTTATGTTTGTAATGATAATTGAATTCTTGACAAGAATTGTATTATTATTTTCAAAAATAATTCAATTCCTTCAAAGAATTTTGCAAAAAAATTGAATTCCTGATTAAAATTTTATTATTTTTGTAAATAATTGAATTTGTGGAAAATATTCTGTTATGGATGAAAATAATTCAATTCTTTGAAATTTGAAAGATTTGAACAACATTGAATTTCTGTCAAGAATTTTATAAAATAGTTGAAAATAATTGAATTTATTAAAAAAAATTTAATTTTTTTTGAAAATAATTGAATTTCTGCGAAGAATTTTATAAAATTGTGGAAAATAATTTAATTTATTTTAAAAATTTTATAAAATTATTGAAAATAATTGAATTTATTTTAAAAAGTTTATTATTTTTGAAAATAATTGAATTTTTGCGAAGAATTTTATTACAATTTTCAAAAATAATTGAATTTCTAAGAAAAATTTTGTTGTTTCTAAATAATTGAATTTCTGGAAAGAATTTTTATATTTATAATGATAATTGAATTCTTGACAAGAATTGACTTGTATTATGTTTTTGTTGTGTGAAGCGTCACATGTGTTAAATTTGAACAGAATAAAAATATTATTCAGTTAATTATGATTAATAAATCAATGCTAATTGATAATAAACCCTGGAGTTTAGAACAATTTAGAAGAGAGTTATAAAAAATGTTGAATTAATTTTCAGAACGAGATGCTAAATCTGAAGCAGAACAATGAGCGCTTGCAGCGATTGGTGACCTCGAAATCTTTGACATCGTCACAATCTTCGCTGCCCAGCGACCCGGAACGACGCTTCAGCATGACCGAAGTTGCATCTACCGTTGCGGCACTGTCGAACGGTGACCACGGCTCGACATCAAATCAATTGGAGGACTTGAATATTCCCGAGCAACCGGTGGTGCCGTCAGCGACATCGACATCAACGGAGCCAGCGATCGAGCAAGATACCGATGGCAAGCGAATTAACGTCGCTGTTTATCTCGGCAGTGAAAAAAGTTTCAATTTTAATCTCGGCAACTCGACCGAAGGCGGTGCCAGCGATCCACCTCACTGCATCATTGCCAGCGTTTGCATCTCCAATAAAACCACCTGGGACAGTCTCGATACCACTGTCAGAAGATGCTTCAAGGATTACGTCACGCGAGTCGATCCTGTCACCAATCTTGGACTTGGAGTCGAATGCATCGCCGCTTATCATCTCGGCGAGGCCTCAAGGTACTTGTTTCAAATATTATTGTAGCAAAATTCGTGAATTTTATTTTTTTATTTTTCTTCTAAACTCTTTTATTTTGGTTACAATTTGCAGCAGTGAAACCTGTAGCTACAGCTGAACCTAAAGCTTAAGCTGAAGAAGAACCTAAAGCTTAAGATTAAGCTGAACGTAAAGCTGAACCCAAAGCTAAACCTAAACCTAAAGCTAAAGCTAAAGCTGAACCTAAAACTAAAGCTTAAGATTAAACTGAATCTAAAGCTAAAGCTTAAGCTAAGCTTAAAGCTGAACCTAAAGCAAAAGCATAAAATTAGGCTGAACCTAAAGCTAAAGCTTAAAGATTAAGCTAAACCTGAAACTAAAGATTAAGCTGAATCTAAAGCTAAAGCTTAAGCTGAACTTAAAGCTGAACCTAAAGCAAAAGCTTAAAATTAAGCTGAACCTAAAGCTAAAGCTTAAGATTAAGCTGAACCTAAAGCTTAAGATTAAGCTAAATCTAAAGCTTAAGCTGAACCTAAAGCAAAAGCATAAAATTAAGCTGAACCTAAAGCTAAAGCTTAAAGATTAAGCTGAACCTAAAGCTGAAGCTTAAAATTAATCTATTAATTAATTAAATTAATAAAGCTAAAGCTTAAGATTAAGCTGAATCTAAAGCTAAAGCTTAAGCTTTAGCTGAACTTAAAGCTGAACCTAAAGCTGAATCTAAAGCTGAACCTAAAGCTAAAGCTTAAGATTAAGCTGAACCTAAAGCTTAAGATTAAGCTAAATCTAAAGCTTAAGCTGAACCTAAAGCAAAAGCATAAAATTAAGCTAAACCTAAAGCTGAATCTAAAGCTAAACCTAAAGCTTAAGCTGTACCTAAAGCTAAAGCAGGGCTCGAACCAGTGCGAGTATTTAGAAATACGGACTTTACGGACGAAAAATTAAAAATTACAGATCGATTACAGACAAAAATATAACCAGTCCGATAAAATTTTACTTAAAATTATAAATAAAATATAAATATATAAAATAAATAAAATAAAATATATAAAATAAATAAAATAAAATATATAAAATAAATAAAATAAAATATAAATAAAATAAAACGACCGAATGATACAATCATTATTTTATATTATAAGAATATTGTTACTGTAACTTCTTCAAAATTATTTTCATAATTTAAATTCAATTATTATTTTCTAGAATTTTTAACTTAAATTCTTCTCTAAATCAATTATCTTCTATATTAATAATCGTTGTATTCCGGTAATCTGTTCGCAGGTTGCTTTTTTGTTTCTCAACTGTTTTTAATAATTTTTCTTTTTAAATATTTTCAATTTTAAAATTACTGTATTGAAAATCATCGAATCGTGTTTGTTAAAAATTGACACTAAACATTTATTTAATTATTGAATTCTATTAAAATTTTAGAAAGTAATTGAATTCTTTTGAAAAATTTTTTATAACGAATTAAGAAAAAAATTGAATTCTTTCGTCGAATTTTTTTTTAAATAATTCAATTTTTGCAAAGAATTTAATTAAATTGTTTCGAAGAATTTATTAAAAGTTTAGAAAATAATTCGTCGAATTTTTTTTTAATAATTCAATTTTTGCAAAGAATATAATTGAATTGTTTCGAAGAATTTATTAAAAGTTTAGGAAATATTTGAATTTTTTTGAAAAATAATATTAAAAAATAAAAAAAAATTGAAATCTTTCATGAAATGTTATTAAAATTGTATAAAAAATAATTGAATTTTTGCAAAGAATTTTAATATTATATAAATAAAATTGAATTTCTTTTAAGAATTTATTAAAATTTTATAAAACAATTGAATTTTTGCAGAAAATTTTAATATATTTATAAAAATAATTGAATTCTTCTGAAGAATGTTATTATTTAGGAAAATAATTGAATTCTTGTGAATTCAATTATTTTATTAAAATTTTTGAAATTAATAAATAAGAATAATTAATTAGTAAATTAGTTAATAAATTCTCCAATTAAATATATATATTGTAGAGAATAAAAACTTCAAAAAATAATTTTAAAAAAAAATCAATATTAAACTTTTTCAAAAAAAAAATTAATTTTACAAAATTTTTAGCTAAAAGAATGAGAAATTCAGATTTTCTAAGATTATAATTCGAAAAAATTTTCAAAATTCAATTATTCCAAAAAATTCATCATTTTATAATGCTTTTAATATTTAATTATCTAAAATTTTTAAGACTGAAATTCATTTTCAAATCAATTTTTCATAGAAAATTCTACAAGAATCAATTATTAAAATACAAAAATTAATAATTTATTGATTAATTAAATGTTTGTTTATATTGAATTCTTATAAAGAAATATATGAACAAATATTTAAATAATTGAAAAATAATTAAATTTCTGCAAAGAATTCTTCAAAGAAATTCAATTATTTTTATAAATATTAAAATTCTTCGGTGAAATTCAATTACTTTTAAAACAATTTTAATAAAATTTCTTAAAAGAATAAAGTTTTTTATAAAAATTTTAAATAAATTCCTATTTTCAAGAATTTTAATGAAAATTCAATTAATTTTAATAATTTTTATAAAAATCTTTAAATGAATTGATTTATTTTCAAAAATTCTAATAAAATTCTTCAAAACAATTCAATTATTTTTAAAAATTGGAAAATTATTGTCAAAAAATTTTAATAATTGAAAAATAATTGAATTTCTGCGAAAAAGTTTGTAAAAATTCAATTCCTGATTAAAATTTTGTTATTTTTGAAAATAATTAAATTTGTGGGAAAAATCCTGTTATTTATGAAGATAATTCAATTCCTGTTAATCGAAAGTTTTAAAAAGAATTAAATTTCTACTAAGAATTTTATGAAGTCTTTGAAAATAATTGAATTCATGGTAAAAATGTTGTTATTTTTGAAAATAATTGAATTTTTGCGAAGAATTTAAAAAAATTATTAAAAATACTTGAATTCTTGATTAAAATTTTGTTGTTTTTGAAAATAATTGAATTTCTAGGAAGAATTTTCATATTTATAATGATAATTGAATTCTTGACAAGAATTGTATTACAATTTTCAAAAATAATTGAATTTCTTCAAAGAATTTTTTACAAAATTTATTGAAAATATTTGAATTTCTGAATAAAATTTTTGTTATTATTGAAAATAATTGAATTTGTAGAAAAAATCTTTTATTTAAGAAAATAATTACATTTTTGTAATTTGAAAGTTTTTAACAGAATTGAAAATCAGCGAAGAATTTTATAAAGTCTTTAAAAATAATTGAATTTATATTTAAAAATTTTATTATTTTTGAAAATAATTGAATTTTTGCGAAGAATTTTAAAAAATTATTCAAAATACTTGAATTCTTGATTAAAATTTTGTTATTTTTGAAAATAATTAAATTTCTAGGAAGAATTTTTATATTTATAATGATAATTGAATTCTTGACAAGAATTGTATTACAATTTTCAAAAATAATTGAATTTCTTCAAAGAATTTTGTAAAAACATGAATTCTTGATTAAAATTTTGTTATTTTTGAAAATAATCGAATTTGTGGGGAAAATTTTGTCATTTTGGAAAATAATTGAATTTCGGCGAAGAATTTTGATATTTATAATTATAATTGAATTCTTCTGAAAAATTTTCTTATTTATAAAGATAAAATTGAGTTCAAAATTAAATTCAATTGCTTTCAAGAATTTTAATAAGAATTTAATTATTTTCGAAAATCTTCATAAAATTTCTTTTATAAAAATTCAATTATTTTCAAAAATCCAAATAAAATTCTTCAAAATAAATAAATTATTTTTGCAAATTGTAGAATTCTTCAGAAGAATTCAATTATTTTTATAAATAATAAATTTCTTCTCAGAAATTCAATAATTTTTGTAAATACATCAAAAGCTTTTGAGAATAATTAAATTTTTAAGAATAATTTTATTACAATTTTTAAAAATAATTAAATCCATTTGGAAAATTTTATTAAAATTAATTTGATTATAACTGAATTTTTATCATAATTTTTGAAAATAATTTAATGTCGTAGAAGAATTTTATTATTTATTTAATTGAAATTTTTGACGAGAATTTAAAAAAATTTTTCATCATAATTGAATTTTCGCGAAGAATTTTATTATTTTTGAAAATAATTGAATTTCTGCAATCATTTGTAATTTTTTGAAAATCTTCCAAATTATTTCGTACACTTTACGAAATTATTTCCATATTTTCCTACTTTTTCAAATAAATTACGGTCTTTACGGACGTTTTTTACAAAAAAAAGTAACTATTACAGACTTGAAGGAAATTTTCGGATCTTCACGAGATTTACGACCCTAATTCGTAAATCGCTGAAGCAAAATCGAAAAATAAAGCAAAAGATAAAGCTAAATACGAAAGATAATTAATTGAACCGGCAAATTATTAAAATCGAATATTTTTTGTTTAGGTGCATCACTGAATCCCAACATCCGGAACTGCTTCCCTGTGGATACATGGTAGGCCACGTGAAATCAATTTACTTGGTCCTCTCGGGATACTCGTGGCTGGCCGTCGATACACTGATTCCGAGATCGATAGTTCAGAGGCAGGTGAATCATCTCATGGAACATCGACGAGTAATTTTGTGCGGTCCAAGTGGCACGGGCAAGAGTTACCTGGCAGGAAAGCTTGCGCACGCTCTTGTGGACGCCGACACGGAGAATAAGGACGCGGCTGCTGTGGCGACCTACAACGTCGATCACAAGTCCAGCAAGGAGCTCAGACAATATTTAACTCACATTGCCGAAAGATGCGATTCAAACGCTGCCGATGAACTGCCTCGTGTTATTATTCTGGAGAATCTCCAACACGCCGCCTCACTTAGCGAATTATTTAGCGGACTTCTGGGCACCCGACATTCCACGTGTCCCGCGATTATTGGCACCATGAGTCAAGCCACGTGCAGTACTACTAATCTTCAGCTGCACCATAATTTCCGGTATGGATTTCGAGAATGATAATTCAATTCCAGAATTGAGTTTGCAATCGAGAATCTCTGATTTTTTTTTAATGAAAGGAAAGATTCCCGAATGAAACACTATTCGGGAATGCAGTTTAATACTAAATTACAGTAGCATAAAGGGGAGCATGAATATCCAATCAAAATTATTAGTTAAAATATTTATTTGATAAAATTTTGATGCAAAATTTATTTTCAAATTTAATATTCTGGAAAAATTCAAATATTTTTATAAATATTAAAATTCCTCTCAAGAATTCAATTATTTTGGCAACTAACAAAATTCTTCCAAACAATTCAATTATTTTTATAAATATTAAAATTCTTCAGAGAAATTGAATTATTTTATATAAAATTTTAATTAAATTTCTCTAAAGAATACAATTATTTTTAAACATATTCATTAAATTCGACTATTTTCAAGAATTTTAGTGTAAATTACATTTTTTTCAACCATTTTGATAAAATTCTTTAGAAAAATCCAATTATTTTCACAAAATCAGATAAAATTGTTCGAAACAATTCAATTATTTTCAAAAATTGGAAAATTGTTCGAAACTATTCAATAATTTTCAAAAATTGTAAAATTCTTCGAAAAATTACAATTATTTTAATAAATAATCATATTTTTCAAAAGAATTCAATTATTTTCATAAATATTAAAATTTTTCAGAGAAATTCAATTATTTTTAATACAATTTTAATTAAATTTCTCGAAAAAATACAATTATTTTTAAACATATTCATTAAATTTGACTATTTTCAAGAATTTTAATGTAAATTCCATTTTTTTTCAACCATTTTGATAAAATTCTTTAGAAAAATCCAATTATTTTCACAAAATCAGATAAAATTGTTCGAAACAATTCAATTATTTTCAAAAATTGGAAAATTGTTCGAAACTATTCAATTATTTTCAAAAATTGTAAAATTCTTCGAAAAATTACAATTATTTTTATAAATAATCATATTTTTCAAAAGAATTCAATTATTTTCATAAATATTCAATTTCTTCACAGGAATTCAATTATTTTCATAACTAATATCATTCTTCAAAAGAATTCAATTATTTTTAAAAATATTAATTAAATTTGATGAATTTCAAGAAATTTAATGCATATTTCATTATATTCAACGATTTTGATAAAATTCATTAAATAAATTCAATTATTTCTAAACGTTTTAATCAAATTTTTCAATTGAATTTTTAAAATTTAAAAAATATTCATTAAATTCGATTATTTTCAAGAATTTCAATAAAAATTCAATTTAATTCAATAATTTTGATAACAATTTTTAGAAAAATCTAATTACTTACAAAAATTCAGATAAAATTATTCGAAGCAATTCAAAATAATTGTTTAACATAATTATTTAATAATAATTCAAAATTATTTTTATAAATTGTAAAATTCTTTCCAAAATTCTAATTATTTTTATAAATAATAAAATTCTTCTCAGGAATTTAATTATTTTCTTAAATATTAAAATTCTTCTTAGGAATTCAATTATTTTCATAAATAATAATATTCTTCAAACGAATTCAATTATTTTCATAAATATTAAAATTCATCGAAGGAATTCAATTTTCTAGAATTCTATTTTTAAGAATTTTAAGAAAAATTCATTTTATTTCAATTGTTTGGTAAAATTCTATTGAAAAATTAATTATTTTTAAATGTTTAAAATTTAAATCAATTTTTCAATTCTATTCAATTATTTTCAAAATCTTTCATGTAAAATTCTTTCAAAAAATTTAATTATTTTCAAAAATTTTTTAGAGGAATTCAATTATTTTCCAAAACTTGTATGAAAGTCTTGTCAATAATATTAAATTAAATAGTTGATTTTTAATAAAATTTCTCGAAAGAAGACAATTATTTTTAAAATTATTAATTAAATTCTATTATTTTCAAGAATTTTAATAAAAATTTAATTATTTTCAATAATTTTGATAACATTCTTAAAAAAAATTCAATTATTTTAAAAAATTTAGATATTTTTAAGAATTTTAAGAAAAATTCATTTTATTTCAATTATTTGGTAAAATTCTATTGAAAAATAAATTATTTTTAAATGTTTAAAATTTAAATCAATTTTTCAATTCTATTCAATTATTTTCAAAATCTTTCATGTAAAATTCTTTCAAAAAATTCAATTATTTTCATAAATAATTGCAAAATTCTTGGCAAGAATTCAATTATTTCTATAAATAATAAAATTATTCTTCTTAGTAATTCTATTATTTTCAATACAATTTTTAAAAAATTACCAAGAAAAAATTCAATTCTTTTCAAGTAAATTTTAATAAAATTTCTCTAGAAGATTGAATTGTTTTTAAAAATTGTAATAAAATTTTTCTAAAAAATTCAATTATTCTTAACAGTTCTTGATAACATTTTTTCTATAGATTTCAATTATTTTCAAAGTTTTCAATAAAAATTATGAAAAACAATATTAGATTATTTTTTTCGAATTTTAATGAAATTCTTCGAAAAAAATGTAATTATTTACTAACAACTCTAATGAAATTGTTTAAAAAAATTTAATTTTTAATTAATATTTTGAATATAATTTAATAGAAAAATTATTAATTACAATTAATAATAAACACGATTATTTTGGTAACTTAAAAAAAATTCTTTATAAAATTCACATACTTTCGAAATTTTTTGACAGAAATTATTTAAAAAAAACTCCACTATTTTCAAAAAATTTGAAATAAATTCTTTTAAACAATTTAATTATTTTGAAACTAATTTGGGGTCACAACCTCAGAAAAGGAAATTAAAGAAATAATTTTTATGGGATATACATGTGCTCATTAATAAATTAAATTTTTTTCTAAATTGACTAAATTCAACTACATTGGAAAAAATTTTTGCTTCAAATCACCGATAACTTGTATATTAATACAAGTTACTAGTAATTACAATTAATTTATTATTATTAATTATTATTAATTATTAATTATTATTAATTTATTATTAAATATTTACTTGAATCAAATAGTTTTTATCTAAATCAAGTAAATTGTTTTTGAACTAATAATTTCTGCATTTGAAGCAAATAACACTTAATTGATTCAAATAAAAAATTTTTGATTCAAAAATTATTTGCTAATAGACAAATAATCGTTTATTTGAATAAAATCAATTTTTTCTTTCAGTGTTTAATAATTTGAAAATGTAAAAGGAAAATTTTCCATTTAATTTGAAATTGTAAAATTGTTTTATTAGATGGGTTCTGTGTGCGAATCATATGGAGCCAGTGAAGGGTTTTCTGGGAAGATATTTACGACGGAAATTGCTGGAACACGAATTACGCGAAACCGGAGGAGCTAGAAATGCAGAAATGGCTGCCGTCGTTGAATGGTTACCGAGAGTTTGGCTTCATCTCAATAAATTCCTGGAGACCCACAGCAGCTCCGATGTAACAATAGGTACATTTTTTTCACTACTTTTCTACTTGGAGTCATCCTCCGGAATCATTTTTTTCTTTTCAATCTTTTCCAGGGACCGATTCTGAAACGAAACTAAATTAAAAATTTACGTTCAATTTAGTTTTGTGTCGACCCGAAACTAAATTAATAAAATTAATTTAGTTGTCGACACGAAATTAAACTCAGTTTGTTAATTTAGTTTTGTGTCAAAACTTAGAAACTAAACTTTCGTATCGGTCCCTGGTTTTTTCAGTTAAAAAATCATAACTACCGTAACTTTCAATATTTGGGCGTGTAAATATTATAATCCTAACAAAAATAATTATAAGACTAAAAATTTAATCTTCTCTTCAGGTCCACGACTCTTCCTGTCTTGTCCGATGGAAGTATCCGGATCTCAAGTTTGGTTCACAGACTTGTGGAATTATTCTGTGATTCCGTACCTGGTGGAGGCTGTCAGAGAAGGTCTGGCACTTTACGGACGAAGGACGAGCGGAAGCGGAAATGGAGACTCAGTTTGGGAAGATCCTGCGCAATTTATCATTACAAGTTATCCCTGGATCTCGACTCACGCCGTTCATGGCGGAAGTGACGCTCTCCTACGACTCAGGCCCGAAGATGTCGGCTACGACGTTGTCACTTCCGGTCATTCTTCGGGAGTCGGAGCTTCCAGTGTCAAGAGTCTCGGTAGTACTCACAGCGACACAGACGGAGATCCTTTGGTAATTTTTTATTCATTTTTCATGTTAATAAAAATTCATGTTTGAATTTTCATAATTTTGAAATCATAACAAACAATTTTTAACTATTTTTCAATATTTAAAAATTGTTTGTTATCTAAAAGTTTTTCCATTATATTCCCCAGTTATCGGCACCCATTTAATTTCAAAACATAATTTATTATTTATTTAATTTTAAAACTTGAAAAACTATCATACAATTGTTACTTATAAATTTTTTAATGAATAATTTTACTAAAATAGGTTCTAAAATTATTTGAATTTTGAAAGAGTTACGTTTACAATTTTCAAATAGATGAATTTCAAAACATGTTAATTTGAAATTTTATAAACTTTCAATTTTTAATGAATTTAATTAGAAATTTTAAAGAACTTTTACCTTCTTGAAAAATTATAATATAATAGTTCAAATTCTTCTGAAATTAGTTCAATTTTTTAATATAGGTATATTTAAACAATTATTAAAAATAATGGATTTTTAGAAGAATTTTAGTTACAAACTTTAAAAAAATAATTAAATTTTAGAGAAATGACAAGTAATAGCAATTTTTAGAAATAATTGAATTTTAAAAAGGTTTCACATTCAAATCCTTGGAAAATTTGAATTTTTCATAATATTAATTAATAATTCTGTAGAACTAATATATTTAGAAAATTTGAATTTCTATTCAGTTGAAATTACTTGAATATTTAAATACATATTTAAAATTGTTACAAAAATTTTAATACAATTCTTCGAAAAATTTCAATTATCTTGATAAATATCAAAATTCGTCCCAGAAATTCAATTATTTTCAGGAATTTTAATAAAATTCTTTGCAAAATATCAATTATTTTTATAAATAACCAAAATTCATCACAAAAATTCAATTATTTTCAAAAGTAATAGAATTCTTTGCAGAAATTCAATTATTTTCAAAAATCGTTCAAACTTATTTTTTTTGCAAAAATTCAATTATTTAAAATAAATTTTGATAAAATTCTACGCAAACATTAAATTATTTTCATAAATAAAAAAAATTCACTGGAATTCAATTATTTAAAATAGAATTTGCATATTTTTTTTGAAAAATATAAATTATTCAAAATTTTTTTTATAAAATTCGGCCCAATAATTCAATTTTTTTCGTAAATAATAAAACTCTTCGCAGAAATTCAATTATTTTTCATTATCTTTTTAACTTAATTTCTCGAGTAATGCAATTATTTTTATAACGTTTATAATAAAATTGTTCGAAAGAATTCAATTTTTAGAAACATTCAATTATTCAAGAAATTATTTATTTTCGTATTAAAATAATATAATTCTCGTAGAACTTTATAATAATTGAATTGATTTAAAATTAAATTTCAGTAAAAGTTTTAGATAATAATTGAATTTTAGAAGCATTAAATTATTTTTTTATTAGAAGAAGAATAACTTTTTAGAAATAATTGAATTTTGAAAAGATCTGATTTTTTCATACTTTTAATTAATAATTCAGTAGAACTAATTTATTAGGAAAATTTTCATTCCATTTCTGTTGAAATTACTTCAGTTTTTAAATAAGTATTTATAATATTGCTTAAAAAATTTTTACGCCCCAGAAATTCAATTATTTTTAGGAATTTTAATAAAATTCTTTCCAAAATTCAATTATTTTTATAAATAACCAAAATTTAATTATTTTCAAAAATAATAGAATTCTTCTTAGAAATTCAATTATTTTCAAAAATAATAGAATTCTTCTCAGAAATTTAATTATTTTCAAAAATCTGTTAAGAATTTTTCGCTAAAATTAAATTATTTTCAAAAATTTTCCTCTATTCAATGATTTTCAATATCTGTTATTGTATAATAAAATTTCCCAAACTAATTCAATTATTTAAAATTAATTTGAATAAAATTCTATGACAAAAATTTAATTATTTTCATAAATAATAAAAATTCCTCAGATATTCAATTATTTTCATAAATATTAGAATTCTTTTGAGGAGTTTCATTATTTTCATGTAAATATTAAAATTCATTGTAAGAATTCAATTATTTTTAATGCAAATTTAATTTAATTTCCTAAATAATCTAAATATTCTAAAAAATTTTATTAAAATTCGTCAAAAGAATTCAATTATTTAAAAATTTGTTGATAAAATTCTTTACGAGAATTAAATTTATTAAATATTCAATTATTTTTCAATTATTTTTATTATTTTCAATAATTATTCAATTATTTAATAAATTATTTATTTTCCTACGTATTTAAATAATTTAATTCTCGTAGAACTTTCTATAAATAATTAATTTAAAATTGAATTTTAGTTAAAATTTTATATAATTGAATATCAAAAGAATTATTCGTCAATTTTTAGAAATAATTGAATTTTGAAAAGGTTTCAAATTAAATTCTTTAGAAATTTGGATTTTTCATAATTTTATATTTAACTGACAATTCTGTGAAATTTAATATTTTTAAAAAGTTTATTTGAATTTTTTTTGGAAATTATTTCAAGTTTTTATTTTCTACAATATAATTGATTGAAGAATTTTCGAATAATCGTAATTTTACGTACAATTGTATTGTAAACAAATGGATTTGAAAATATTCAAAAAGATCTTTTTCGAAAATTATAAAAATCAATTGAATTAAAGAAGAATTTTAGTTAAAAATTCCAGAAAATAATAATTGTTTAGAAATTATAAAAATAATGTTGAAGAAGTTACTGTAACAATATTCTTTTAAGTTATTGAATTTTAAAAAGATTTGAATTTGGAATTTTTGAAAATCCTAATTCCTATGGAAAAATAATATTAATTAAATATTTATTTAAAAAAGAAGTTATTGATGTTTTTGAATAATTTTACAATTAAAGAAATTCGCAAATAAATATATTAGAACCTTTTTTTTGCGTTTTATCATTTTTAGAGTGAATCAGAATTTTTTTTAGGGGCCAGTCAAAATTTTTACTTTTTGTCAATTTTGTCAAAATTTTTACTTTTTGTCAATTTTGTCAAAATATTTACTTTTTGTCAAACATTTGACTTTTTGTCAACATTTTTACAGTCTAGTTAAAAAATTTGTCTGGAAATCAGGGGAAAGTCCTCAATCAGGAAAAAGCAAAATTAAATTTTTGAAGCAATCCTGACATATTTATTTTTAAAAATTAAATTTTTTTCTTTACAACCAACGTAATAAAATTTTCGAAAATTAACTGGGTGCCGATAACTAGATGCAAATTTCAGTTTCATTAAAAAAAAATTTAAAAGAATAGTACAGTATTTAAACAAAATTCGATGATAATCAAACGAATTTCATTGAATAATAAATAAATTTTCTCCTTTCAGTTAAACATGCTGTTGAGACTTCAAGAGGCAGCCAATTTTTCGAGTCCACTTAGCAACGATAGCGATTCGAATTCATTGGATTCTTCTCACACTCGCCACTCGGAGGATTTAAGTTCCTCGACATCGTCTTCAAGAGGTGTCGAGTCCGCTCTTTAGATTACGTCACTGCTCGTAAGACGACAATAGACGTAGTGAAAAATCTATTTGCAATTATAACCTCTCGCATTTGTTGAGTAGGGGAAAAAATGAAATCATCAATTTACATCGAGTCGAAAAAAATTTCTTAAAGAAAACAAATAAGAAAGAAAAAAAACCTCGAGTAAACTAGAAGCATGCTAGAAGACAGCGCTTTTTCAAAGCCACAATTATTTTTTGTACATAAGCCAACAGAATATCGTGTATTTCAAATATTTCATTGAAGTAAAATGTGAAAATTTGAAGAGGAGCGAGAGAAGAAAAAAGTTCGTTGACGAATTTCGAACGCGAAGAAATCTAATTTTTTCACGCAAGTCCATTTTTTAAGAGGAAGAGAAAAGGCCTATTGCAATTTTTACAGGCTTTAAATGTCAGAAAACAATTTTTCCACTTTCCCCGAATGTAATTAATGCTCGAAACAATTTTACAAGTTCGAAAGCGTTTCAAAATGCGAAGCGTTTTATTTTTACACTCTCGGAAACGGTACTAACGATTTTTAAAGGGCGTTTTTTAAACAGTTTGAAACAGTTTATAACAGTTTGAAAATCCCGACATAATTTTGAAAAAAAATTTTAACTATTTAAAATCATTCAATTTTTGTAAAAATGATTTTATTTATTTTAGTTTTATAAATAAATAAATAAATTTTAACAAATATTTTTCTTTTCATATGACAATATGTTTTGAATGTTTCCAAAATATTTGTAATTTCGATTTTTCAAACAGTTTGAGAAAAGTGAAAAGGAATTTTAAGGAATTCGCAACTATTTTATAAAATTTCAAAAAAAAAAATTAAATAGTTTGTCGACATTTTTAAATAGTTCGCAAATTTTTTAAACGTATTTTAAAAAAAAAACTATTTTCTTATCGATTCAAGAAATTTCTTAAAATTCGAGAAAAAATAATTTTCAAACAGTTTGAAGAAAAGGTGAAAATAATTTCTAAAACTAAAATTTTATTTTTATTTCTAAAAATAGAAAATTTGAAAAGAAAACTAAGAAATTAAGAGAAAAACGTTTCAAAAGATTTGAAGAACGATTTTTAAAAAATGAAAACAAGTTTGTGAAATAGATTTTCACGGGTCCTAAGGAAATTTTTTTACAACATAATTCAATTTTACAATTATAAGCGAGCCTAATAAGCGAAACCATTGCCTATCATGCGACATAGACATAATCAATAAACAATAAGGCACAACAATGCTGCTGTGACAAAAAAAAAATGATTGTATTTTTTGAAAAAAAACTCATTTTTTACTTTTTGAGCCTCAATGATGCAACGCAGTGCAAATGAATGCAAAACTTATTCTTTTTTGTTTCTCAAGAAAATTCTTGACGAAAGACACAGTATTAGAGGACGAAAAGAGAATGCTAAAACTTCTCGTCCATATTTTGACCAATAGCCACGCTAATTGTGGAGCAAGCTAAATGCTGCTGCTCTCGGCTAAGAAAAGAAAAATCTCGAATCAAAAATTTTTCCAATTTTTTCTTTCTTCAAAAAAAAAAAAAAGAAAATATTGGATAAATTTTTCTCACGTCCATTCGAGAAAAGAAAGAAAGCTCTGTGCGTGCGAAAATATAGTCTATTTATACATGTAATAATTTACTAAGAAAACTTTATTTAATGAACAAAAAAAAATGTTAATATAATATTAATATATATTATATGTATACAAAAAAAAACAAAAAAAAAACAACGGCGCTGAATTTTATATGTAAATGTATGTGAGCAAGTAAAAAATTTATATTGATTAGTCATTAAGACATGTGAGTAAATCTGGTCATAATTGATATTGTAAATATATTATAATCGAAGGAAAATTCAGGCGCCGAGAAAGAGAGAAAGAAAAAGAGATCGAGAGGGAAAATTAAGTTGACACGAGTAAACACATGTCGGAAAGATGTTTTTTTTCACGAGATTGCAATTGTGGGGGGATTGTGCGCCTTTCAATTATATAAAAAAAAAATATGAAGAAAAAAGGATTTTGCGAGTACGTAAGATTATAAATATTGTAAAATGTAGTAAAAAAAAAAAAAATTCGATTAAATTCGAACGCTTTGATAAATAAAAGAGGCACGATTGAAACTGACGTATATTTCGAGAATAAAGAAAAAATGAGAATCGTGCTCGTTATGAAAAATATTCAGACGCATTTACAGGTTTTTTACGTTTGTATCGTATTTATACACATTTAAGGCGCCGCACCCAAAACTCTATCCAAATATTATTACTGTGTCATCAAATAAAAAAAAAATCATTGACCTATAATTAATTGTGTTTTCATTTTTATTCCAATATAATTTATTATTTACTTTAAATTCACGCTTCGCATTTATCTACTAAAACCTACTATTTATTTTTTTTTTTTAGATTTCGGTCACTAAAGGCCGAATTTCTGTTTTTTTTTGTTATTTACACAACTTTAAATTCGCTAATACAAAAAATCAAAAAATTATTCTCAAAAATTATAATCAAATTCTTTGAAACGATTCAATTATTTTCAAAAAATATTCGAAATTCAATTATTTTTAATCACTAGTATTTTCATAAAATTTCACAAAACAATTCAATTATTTAAAAAATAATAAAATTCAATTATTTTCATAAATAATAAAATTTCCACAGGAATTCAATTAATTTAGAACATTTTCATTTTTTTATATTTTTTAATTTTTTTATATTTTTTTTTAATTTTTTCATTTTCATTTTCATTTTCATTTTCATTTTCATTTTCATTTTTTTTTTTTCATTTTCATTATATAAAAAATTTCGAGAAATTCAAATATTTAACAAAATTTTTAAACAATTCTTCACAATAATTCAATTAGTTTCACTAATAATAACATTTTTCATGAAAATTCAATTACAGTCAGGTCTCGCTAAGTGTCGTCACTGGGAATTTTTTGAGACCGTCTGTCTCAGTAAGTGTCAGTGGCCTAAGCCACGCCCCTTTAATAAAAGTGGCCATTTCATTGGTTTATGTTGCAAACCGTCAATTAATTATAATTTTAATACTATTTTAAATTAATAATTAGAAAAATTCAATTATTTAAAATAAAATTTTCATAATATTTATTATATTTCGCAAAAATTAATTATTTAAAACAATGTTTTTTAAAATTCTTATAAAGAATTCAATTATTTTCAAAAATAACAAAATTTTTCACACAAATTCAATTATTTTAAAATAAAATTTTCATAATATTTATTATATTTCGAAAAAATGAATTTATTTAAAACAATGTTTATAAAATTCTTATAAAGAATTCAATTATTTTCAAAAATAACAAAATTTTTCACAGAAATTCAAGTATATTGAAAAAATTCTAATAAAATCATTCGCAAGGAACGATTCAATTATTTTTGAAAATATTAATAAAATTCTTAATTCTTCAAATGAAATTAATTTTAATTTCTCGAAAAAATCAATTATATAAAAAAATGTTTTTTTTTAAATTCTTTGGAAGAATTCAATTTATTTTCAAATATTTTTAAAAAATTGTTGGAAAGAAATCAATTTTAAAATTTTAAATACAATTTTAATTAAATTTTTTCAAATATTTCAATTATTCTTTTAGGTTTCAATAAAATTTTTCTTAAGAATTCAATTATTTACATAAATAATTCTTCGAAAAAATTCAATTACTAAAGATAAATATCAAAATTATTCTAGAAAATTCAATTATTTTGAGGCATTTTAATAAAATTCTTTGTGAAATTTAATTATTTTCATAAATAACAATATTCATCACAAAAATTCAATTATTATCGAAAGTAATAAATTTCTTCTTGGAAATTCAATTATCTAAAAAAATTCTAATAAAATCGTTCGCAAGAATTCAATTATTTTCATAAATAATAAAATGCTTTTTAGGAATTCAATTATTGTCAAAAAAATTTAATAAAATGACACACAGACATTCAATTATTCTCAAAAATTTTAATATAATTCTTTGTAAGATATAATTTTTTTTGAAACCTTCGAAAGAAAAACTTTTTTCTACTTTTTTAAAATTAATCGAAATCTCATGGAATTGAATTGAAATCAATTGAATTTTAGATGTGTTTTGAGTGAAATTTTTTTTTAATTCTTAAAAAACTTTTTCAACCTTATTAAAAATAATTGTTTTGAAGAAGAATTTTCGTTTCAAATTCTAGAAAATAATTGAATTTTGCAGAAGTTAGAGTTACAAACAATTATTAGATATAACAGAAAACTTACAATGATTTTAGTTAAAAATAATTGCAGTTTTTAGTTAAATTTTAAAAGAATTTTTATACAAATTCTTGAAAAAAGTGGAGAAATGTTTGTTACACAAATTTTTAAAAATATTTTAATTCCATTTTTTCAAAAAATAATTGAAAAATTTTTTAACTTTCTAAAATTCCATAGAAAATAATTGAATTTTTAAAATAATTTTATTTAAATTCTCGAAAAACATGGAGAAATGTTGGTTACATTAATGTTTAAAAATATTATTGTTTAAAAATATTATTGTTTAATTTTTTCAAGGATATAATTGAAAAATTTCAAAATAATTGAAATTTTCTAAAATTCTATGAAAAATACTTGAATTTTTAAAAGAAATTGATTGAAATTCTTGCAAATAATCGAGAAGGTACCACGATTTTAACTTTTAAAAATATTTTAGTAACATTTTTTCAAAAATTATTGAAAATTTTTAAAATAATTGAAATTTTCTAAAATTCTGTAGAAAATAATTGATTATTTTTAAAAAGAATTTAATTGAAATTCTTAAAAATATTCAAGGGTCCTTTAATATATTAATTGTTAAAATTCGTTCAATTCTATTTGTTTTAATAATTGAAAAATTTTCAAATAATTGAAATTTTCTCAAATTCAACAGAAAGTAATTGTAATTTTTGTCAAGATTTTGAATTTTTTTTTTTTAATTCTTGCAAATAATCGAGAAGAGTTCGCAACTTTAATTTTTAAAAATAATTTCATTCCATTTTTTCAAAGTTAATTGAATTTTTTTTTAAATTCTATTAAAGTAATTGAATTTTGGTAAAGAATGTTATTGAAATTTTTTTAAAATGATCGAGAGAAGTTCAATACACATAAAACTAATTTTATTTAAAAAAATAAGTAGACAGTCCTTATGTTTAAAAATTACATTTTTTCCTGCCAAAAAATAATTTCTTTATAATTGAAATTCCCCTAAAGTCGTTGTCGATATTTCAAGGTAATTTTAGATAAATAAA